TGCAGAAAGCCTAGTCCAGTCCCATGTAGGCTCCACAGCTGTTGATCTAAATTTCAGGAGTTCTCACTAGTTTGGTTTGGTTGTCTCTGTAGGTTTCCTGAACTGGCTTACCCCAGTAATCAGATCAGTGAATACCCTAACTGTCATCATAGAGCCTTTCTCCAGTAACTGATGGAAGCAGATGCAGAAATCCACAGCCAAACACCAGGCAGAGTTCCAGGAGTCCAGTCAAAGAGAGAGAAGAGGGATTCTATGAGCAAGGGCATCAAGATGGTGATAGGGAAACATATAGCGTCTCTCTCTTAAGAATGGAATAACCAATCAAAATGTTTTCCTTGGGGACCCAAGACCCCAACACAGTGATATCAGACATAAAAGTCCTGACACGGGGCTATATAACAGGTTGAGACAATTGAGCAAGCAGCTGAAAAGCCCACTGGGAAATGCAAGAACAGCCTATAAAGGTCGCTTTAGTAATTGTGGTGAACCCTGGAGATACAGGAAGTACCACTGAGGCACCAGGTGCCTGGCAGGTGTGAAATACCTTCATCAGTGTGGGAGATAACAATAGCAAGCAAAGAATAACCATGGAAAAGTCGAGGCGGCATCATGATGTCACCCTAGGTGCCTGTGACTATGAGAACATATGACTACATGTGGAGAGCAGAGAAAGAAGAGTTTCCAAATGAAACTTCCGTAAGTCTGGAAAATACATTATTCTAAGAGTCCATTTCCAGTGTGCATCCCTTTATAGTGGGCAGTCTGACCTCGAACAGCTTGCCTCACTCCTTTGTACCTGGTTTTCTTCATTCTACAATAATATTGACCTCCAGTGGTCTCTGATTTCATAATCACCATCCCCTTCTGCTTTCGATTCCTGAACTAGTTCAGAAAAAGAACAAATGAACAATGAGTAGTCCAACATTGTTCTCCTGGTATGATATCCTGAAGAGAATGCTTCACAAGTCACCAAGAGGTGCAGTGTCTGCAGGTATCAGATGCCTGAAATGAGGAGTGGACAGGGAACATCGTGTTAAACTATAAAACCTCCAGTAATGGAAGGCAAAGAGATTTATGCACCAAATTTCAAAATAGCAGTCGAAGGGGACACTCTGCAACTTTATGGAGGAAGTTGCTCACCCAAAGGATAATAAACTTTCCAAACACATCACACCAGCAGGTGGTACCAAGAGGAAATAAGTGTATAAATGGCTTCAGACATGGCTTAGCAAAGTTTTTTTATAAATTTCCATGTCATCAAAGCAGCAGAATATTGCAGAGGATTCAAAATATTTAAGGTTGACAGCTAGAAAAACAATCAAGTTATCCCTCATCTTTGCGGCTCCTAAATTGGATTAGAAAAACAAATCAGTTCGATGTTCTACTGCTGAAACTGGAACACATCTTTATTGAATTAGAAATAAAGGAATGTGATATTAAGGCAGGCATGAAGATGTTCTGTGTTAAAGACTGTCAATGACAGACAGTCATGACAGCACTGATGATAGGCGACTGGCCCAGTGCAATGTTTTGTTTACATCTTGAGAGAGGATGGACAAGTGGCAAAGTCCATCCAGTTGCCTCTACAGAGGAAAACACCCATATTAGCACTGGGTAATCATTTTAATTGCATGTGGTGAAAGTAGCCCAGCGAATCGCCTCCTCTGTTTTATGAAATTGGCTCTCCAGTCTTGTTGTACCACATCATTCTGCATGTATACTTCAAACACAGCCCTTGTACCAAGTCCTACATGGCGGGAAACAGAACCTGACCCTCAGTTTCCCCGCTAAACGTTATACTCTTGGGCCCGTTATCTGTATGGTGTATGTTCTTAGGTCGAAGCCTGTTCATGGGCATTCTGCCTAGGCAAGGATTTTAGTGTGTGTGTGCATTTCCCTCCCCCCCCCCCCCCCCGCACCCCCCCCTCCCCCCGCATTGGTAGTCGGCCTGTCATTTCATTATCTGCATTCTGTGTTAGCTGTTTGGGATCATTAGGCAAACCTAGCTATCGCTACACATTACTCAGTGTGTGTGCTCTAATAAGCTTTCGTAAATAAAACCCGAAGAGATGAAAAAGGCCGGTGTCTGATTACATGCAACCAATTTGGTCTCATTAGGTTCTTATAAGGAAGAAAAGTAAATATAATCTTTATAAATCATACAGCTATAACAGAGATGCCTGGCAAAATTCATTAGTTAAGATAATAAGAGTGAAGACCATTTAAACGTACAGAAGCCTTGGTTTATGAGGCTGTTAAGTACTATTTCATCCATTATAAACTTCTGCAAAACTCAAAGATGTAATCGGCCAAAGGAAATCACATCTTCTTAAGGAATTCCTGAAGGTTTAGGCTTAATTTATTGCTATTAAAGCACTACTAAAAACTAATGCTTATCTGTCATCTAAAAAAAAAATCTGGTGACACTTAAAATATTAATTTATTTCCCATAGATGTCCAAAGCCTAGAAACTCAGCCTATTTTACAGAGAATACCACTGAGGCATAGGAAAAGAAAGTGATTAAACCAAAGAAACTGGAGCAAATTTGACAAGAAAAAACAAGCATTGTACCCTAAAGGTATTGCTTCTGGAGTCAATGTGGAGTCGGATTTTTCATTTAAGAAGATAAAATAATAGAAACTGCAGAAGAAAGCTGCTGTGCTTCTTATTACTTTGCCTTAAGCATAATATCTAGTTTGATTCCTAGGTGTCAAGTAGGGCAAATGTTGCTCTGCCAGACTTGAATATTGCTTCTTAACGGAAGTGTATGTTTGAGGATAAGAAAGAAAATGAGAACTTGAGGAACTGAGTCTGGCTCTCCCTATGCCCTGAGTAGGCTGAGTGCTTTCCTAATAACAATACTGTGAGGAGGGGGGGAAATTATTAGAGGGGGAGGAAGACAGGGAATTTGCCCATCAAATAGCTGAGAAAAATACCTTAAAGGGGGAGATTCGTGTGGGTTCCGTATTTCAGAGTTCTATTCCTGGTTGCCAGGCCTCGTGTACTTGGACAGAACATCATGTAGGAATGTGTGGCTGTGGAAATTCTTCATAGGAAGCTGGAAGCTGGGAACAAGGAAGGAACCAGGGACCAGGTATAACTACCCAGGCATGCAACTTCCTAAAGTTCCCATCACCTGCCAAAATAAAATAATACCACTAGTCAGGGACAAAACATTCAAAAGATGACCCAGTAAGGGACATTTCATGTTCAAAACCTAACAAGATGGAAGCTTTGAAAAGTACTATCTAAATGTTATCTTGTTGTTGTTGTTGTTTTGAGACAGGGTTTCTCTGTGTAACCCTGGCTCTCCTGGAACTCGCTCTGTAGACCAGACTGGACTTGAACTCAGAGATCTGCCTGCCTCTTCCTCCTGAGTGCTGGGGTTAAAGGCATGCGCTGTTGCTGCCTCTGCTGCTGCCGCCACCCAGCTTAAATATTATCTTTTTTGTTGTTGTTCATCATATACTATGACGTTTTGAGAATTGGTTCCTATCTCCTGAACCTTCTATCACATTCCAAAACATCTGATTTCCAGAAGTTTTTCCCAGTAGGTCAGCAGAATGTCCCATCTTAGCACTGTGGAAGCTGAGGCAGTCCTAAAATCTCTAGGCTCCATATCCCCAACCAGTTGTCAGAAGGCACATCTTAATCAACTTCTTGGTTCAAACCTGTCAGCCCAGGAGAAAACAAGAATGGAGCAAGACACTGCTAGCTTCCTTGCCTGAATCCCACTCCAGTCTGTCTGCCACCTCCCATCACACATACTCCCTTTAACTGTGACCTTCACTACTAACCATCACATCTGCTGGGGCCAAGACACAGACGGGACACCCCTTCTTCCAGAATCTCCCCCCATCAACCTGTGAGTCCCAGCAACAGTGTGGACGTGAAAAGCAGGAAGACTGAAGGAGACAAGCCAACTCTCAGGCCGTGGAGCTTTCAAATGAATGAGCAGATAGATCTAGGAAGCCCAAGAACGGCTCGTTTTAAATAAACCATATAGCGTTAACTCATGAAGTCTGCACGATGACATGGAAGGACGCTCTCAGGTAGCGTGGACTGCGGTGCTGGGAGGTTAGACGGGAAAGGAAAAGGACGCATGCAATCGTTTTTTTTTTTTTTTGTTTTTTGTTTTTTTGTTTTTTGGTTTTTTTCCCTTTCCTCTCCTTTTCCACCATTTTCCATCTCAGCGATGTAGCCAGCCAAAAAGCCCAGGGCCTCTTAGACTAGATACAACAGTGCCACCTAGAGGTCCAGAAGGGATTGTCCTTCAGCCTGCCAGCCGCCGGGACTGAAACTGATTCCCACGCACTGCCTTAATGAAGCTTCCTGATGGGCGCTCCAGGCCTGTTTCACCCTGCATGGGGCAGACGAGGCTTGGAGCAACTGCTTGAAAGTCTAAGAATGCATGGCAGTCTTTACTGACTTAACCATCCATCTGCAGCTCCTCTTAAGCGTAGCTCCAAAACATAAAAGAACGGACCCTAGTTGGTAAACTCCCCCCTCGCCATCTAAATGCAAATTTCCTCGAGTTCTTCCTTCCCGTGTCCTATTCTTTGCATGTTAAGATAATTCATGCAAATCTTATGCATTTTGCTTAGAGGCATCTAATTAGACAGATTAGCTCATAGACTCAATAACCTTCTCTTTTATTCTTATGAAAAGAAGGTTATGTCAGTTAGGAACCTCTCACTCTTAAGAGGAGGCATCAGGCACAGAGCGTGTTTGTGCTCACAGGTCTCCGTGTGCACAGAGAACACAAACAACTGTTTTGTCATGTATATTGTTCGGCATTTGTATTTGGGGGATATGCATGCCTTCCGAAATCCAGCTCTAGTACTTGGTACCAATGCAAAATGTGTTTTTTATTCCCCCTGTGAGAAAAAGGAAGGGGTAGTTCACAAAGGTCCAAAGAATGTGAACATCTGATTGGCCTAAGAGCTGAACAAAGGAAGTAAGATGAAAACACACTCACTCTCTCTCTCTCTCTCACACACACACACACACACACACACACACACACACACACACACACATTCTCTCCTTTGTTCTGAAAATGGATTTGGGCTCTTGTTAGCATACTGCTACTGTGCATTGTAGAAGAAAGGAAAACTCAGTTATAAGGAAAAGATAAACCAAAGATGTGATGCTAACAAGCCCTCAAAATACAAAAGCATTGTAGGTTGCCATGGCAAGAGATCTTTTAAAGCCTGAGGGTCATTATCCCTGGCCTCTGAAAATCCCTCAGGTGTGCCAGTCTAAGATGGAATTAGGCAAACAAGAGTCCTCGAAGAATCAACTGGGATGACTTGCTGACTCTTTTCTTCCCTTCAAGAGTTTGCTGATTCCCAAGAGTCATCCAGGTGTGCATTTAGTCAAATTCTGGATAAAGCTCCTTGGACCAGATGCCACTTTCTCCCAGCATGCAGCAGTCAGTAAAGCTTTGAGGTCACAGGGTGCAAACTCAGCTACCTGCCTGTGCTATTTGACTAAAGCCAGTGAGACGGGACTGTCACAGACTGGAAATAGGTAAGAGCCTGTCTCAAAAGAGAAGCCATTACTCAGTACAGTCAGTTGCTGTCTTCAGGAAATGCAGACTCACCATTGTTAGATTTCTTTCGAAAGCAGACTGAAATCTGGTATGGATGTGAAATCTCCTGATTTTTAAATGTTGGCAGCAACTCAAAAGAGAAGAGAAAAGAACATGCTGGACCAGACAAAACTTAGCCAAAGGCCTGGTTTGACCTAGAAAAGGCAAATATAACTCCTCGGTCTCAGGCGTTGAAAAAAATCTATATTCAAACCACGCCCAGGTCCAGGCCTCCACTGTCTATTTAGGGCAAAACCCTTCACACTTCCACGCTTCAGTTTATCCTGTTTCACCTGTCTGAGTTGCTCTTTCCTCCAGCCTTTGCTTGTCAAAATCCAATATCAAGGGGCAACTCAAATGTCAATTTATTTGTGAGGGCCTCTGGAATCACTGCAGTCAACATTAATCACTGCAGGGGTGCTCTTTTTTTATCTCTGTTCTTGCACTCAGCAGAGTCAACAGTGTTTATGTGTCCCAGTGATGAGCCCTTGGCAACAGGTGTCAAATACATCCTGTCTCTCAGTCCCGTGCCTAGTACAGAGTTAATAATGTTGATACTTGGCTTGACTTCATATTGAGAAGTCACTAAATAAGAAGCAATGCATGAAGTTCTGTTGGTTAAAAAAACTCAGGGTACCTCAAACACAATTACTTTAATCCAAATTTTGCACCAAACATGCAGCCGACCAAACACAATATCCAAAAAAAAAAATGGCTCTACATAATAGAAATGAAACCAGCAAGCAATGTGTTCAGATGAATCTCTCTGTTAGACCCCAGGGATGCAGCAACTAGATACAGAGCTAGATTGTGATCATACAGGTGCTATCAGTTTACTTCCCGGAGAAAAGGGCTCTTTATTCCTCCTTCCTTCCTTCCTTCCTTCCTTCCTTCCTTCCTTCTTTCACCCTTCTTTTCATTGTTTCTGTTCTTTCTCCTGATAAGCCTTCATCATAGGTGCGTGCTGCATATTCCGACACAGATTTATTTCAATAAAGTGTGTGTGGAGCTTAGCCATCATCATCCTCAAAAATAAGTCTACCATGAGCACCTTCTGTGTGTAAGGAACAACACATACTCTGGTATTTACAAGGCACTCTGCCCTCAGGGACTTAAAGTCTAGCTGGAAAACAAAATATATTTACATGGAGAAGACTACTGTATAGAAAATGCCAAAACGCATTTATTGAGTTCTTTGAATAGAATGTCTCTGGCTCTGCACCAGGGATTCAAGGATGACAAGAAGCTATGTCCACCCTTGTAGAGAGCATGTACTGTACACGGAAATTTGCAATACAAAGTTTATTGTGGGATGAGCACTTATTGAAATGGGGGTATGGGAGGCTAGAGAGATGGCTCAGTAGTTAAGAGCACTTGCAGTTCTTCCAAAGGACCTGCATTTCATTCCCAGCACCTACATCTGGTGACTATAACTGCCTATACCTCTAGTTAACAGGGGATCAAAAGACTCTTCTGGACTCTGAAAGTACTTGCACACACACATACACACACACACTTGAAAATAAATACAATCCTGGGCAGGGCAGTGGTGGTACATGCCTGAGGTGATATTGTGTTCCCCAATATATTGTGCACCCTAATAAACTTATCTGGGATCAGAGAACAGGAACAGCCACTAGATAGACACAGAGGCCAGAAAATGGAGGCACACACACCTTTAATCCTAGCATTCTGGAGGCAAAGATCCATCCAGATCTCTGTGAGTTCAAAGCCACACTGGAAACAGTCAGGCATGGTGACATATGCCTTTAATCTCAGGAAGTGATGGCAGGAAGCAGAAAGGTATATAAGGCGTGAGGACCAGGAACTATGTTTGTTAAGCTTTTAGGCTTTTAGCAGCAGTTCAACTGAGCTCCATTCCGATGAGGACTCAGAGGCTTCCAGTTTGAGGAAACCAGATCAGCTGAGGAATTGGTGAGGTAAGGTTAGCTGCGGCTTGTTCTGTCTCTCTGATCTTTCAGTGTTCACCCCAATATCTGGCTCCAGGGTTTGTTTTTATTAATAAGACCTTTAAGATTTGTGCTCCACATGCCTTTGATCCCAGCACTCAGGAGGCAGAGACAAGTGGATCTCTGTGAGTTTGAGGCCAGCCTGGGCTACAGAGTGAGTTCCAGAAAAGGCTCCAAAGCTACACAGAGAAACCCTGTCTCAAAAAAACAATAAATAAATAAATAAATAAATAAATAATAAATAAATTCCCTTAAAAAGCAGGGGTTGGGAGCTAATAGGAAGCTGAAACCTAACAAGTTCTGGACCGGAACCAGCGATGTGTGTTTCAACATGAGAAGCATTTCTTTGGCCAAGGAAAAGTCAAACAGAGGGGATTAAATTAATCGAAATTTTGCTAAAGAGGATGTACACTAAAATGAGGCTACTGCCCCTGACCTTTCAGGCATATGGAGACTGAAATGTCTGTGGTTCTCCACATTAGGATCACCCAGCTAAGAACTATAGGGAAGCTCCAGAGAAGTAGAGTGTCAGTGAGGAAGGAGATGGTCTGACTCTGGCCACTCACAGGGGACACAGATGCTACAAGAGAAAACTGGCCTGAGACCACATTCTGTTCTATCATATCATCACTCTTCTTCTGCTCTGGTCCTCCAAACTGCTCCCAACAGAAACTCTCGAAGCTCATGTGAATCACACCAGTCTACCTACAAACCTCACAACCCCAATGTGACGTTTCCTTGTGAGTGCGAAGAAGGTATGAGCCATAACTACTGTTCGCCTTTTCTATGATCACACTCGAATTTGGTGACACCGTGAAGGAACTGACTGATGAAGGGAAAAATCGAACTGGATGCAGAATGAGCCTTTCTCATGTGTGGTAGTTTGAATGTAATTGGAACCCACAATCTCAGGGAGTGGCACTATTAGAAGGTGTGGCTTTGTTGGAGTAGGTGTGGCCTTGTCAGAGGAAGTGTGTCACTGTGGGGGCGGGCTTTAAGGTCTTCTATGATCAGGATACTGCCCATTGTATCAGTCTACTTCCTATTACCTGCAAGCTGGAGCACTCTCAACTCCAGCACCATGTCTGCCTGCATGCTGCCATGTTTCCTATTATGATGATAATGGACTGAACCTCTGAAACTGTAAACAAGCCACCCCAATTAAATGTTTTCTTTATAAGGGTTGTTGTGGTCATGATGTCTTTTCACAACAATTAAAAACCCTAACTAAGACACCATCTAAGTTTGAAATCAGTGTGACATCTTCTACCAAGGAAGAGAATCCATCCATGTGCACTATACACAGCTTATACGGGAAAAAACTTAGGGAAAGGTAAGAAAAGAAGAAGGGGAGAAGAAATTAAATTAAGAATTTTTTGAGAAACCTAAAATAGGACAGGAAATTAAGATCAAGGGTCACTGGGGGTCAGCATCGGAAAAGGAGGAAAGAGCGGATCAAAGAATTCAATCGAATCAAACCCCTGCTGCTCCAGCCCATGCTCTGCCAATCACTTATTCTTTGAAAATGTCAGAAAGATCACAAATGGAAGAAAAATAATCAACACAAAAGTATAAGTGTCAACCTGAACAGATTTCAGAGTGAAACAAAGAATTTATATGATTAGCTGAAATTCCATGGAGATGTAGAAACATCTCGGCGAAATGAGAGCAAGCAGAGACCTGGCTCCTCATGACGCCTGTGTGTTGCTCGTCTTTTGATATCTATTTCACATTCTGCAGCAAAATTTTTTGTCATATCTGATGTGTTTTGCCAAGTCTTTTATTTGGGATGCTTCCTGATTTCAATATTTTTAGCTGCAGTGGTTTTTAATCACGAGGGTATTATTTTGAAAGCAATTATTTGATGTGCATTCAAAAGCAAAATTCAAGACCAATCCAGATTCATGTGAGATCATCCTAGAAGTGAGGGCACTGTGGGAAGGAGCAGAATGCTGACCCTGAGGACCCAAGTATGAAGGGTCTCAGATTTCTATTACAGAAGCGTAGGTAATCGGTGGCCTCTGCTGCAGTCACCTAGTGCTGTTGATTGAAGATGGCAAATTACAAATTTATCTGTGTTCATCCGGAAGTGAGGCACATACACTTGTTCCACCATGAAATCTAGCCTCGGTAATCAGCCAGCTTTCTGAGTGGCCTACAATTTGATAAGAGGAGCATGAATAGTGGACTTTTTAGACAGAAATACATCTCCTCGTGTCATTGTTTCCCTAAGGAAGCAGTACCACCCCAGGTTTGGGGTGTAGTGCCCTAGAATTAGCACCTGAAAGGAAAAATAATTGAGATGTCAGGACTGATAGAACCGAGAAGCCCTACTGGCATCTTTCCCCACATGTTCTTTGGAGATGGACAGATGTATCTATGACTGAGGTAAAGACTGATGCTTCTTTGGTTGTTCCCAAGTCCTACAAGGCTTTGTCTCTCAGACATTATGATAAAAGACAAACTCAAGCTCTTTAAAGCTGGCAGACACAAACACAACTGTCCAGACTAGAGCCTTGATTCCAGGGACACCTTGGTTTGGCAAAGTCACCTGCAAATGCTGCTTGATTCTTGCCCAAGGTACTTCATTCCTCATATATTTAACTTGATCCAATAAACGCATTGTTCGGGGTGGAAATGTGTAGTACAACCAACGCAGTCATTTTCACAGCAAAGCAATTACAGGCCCAGGGAACAACGCAAAGTCTCTTTTCCAGTAGTTCGTGGGAGTGTGTTCATTCTGAGCCATTACCACGTGTGTCTGTCAGAGGGAGTCTCCAAAGCAGGGTGTAACGAGGCATATTAACTTTCCCTCTGTAACTGAGCATCTCACGGCCTGGCTCCAGGATAGGTCTGGGACTGTGGCTCCAGGCGTAGCTTCAAACCCAGCTTGCTTGCTTTCTGTATAGTCCAGGCTGCAGTTATTGGGGCAGGTCTTACAGTCATAGGGAAGGCGATAGAGGAAGATATGGACAGGGCCAGCAGCAGTGGGAACAGGGTCCTGAGGGCTTTGATGGCTGTAACAAGGGAAATATGCAAGAGACATAAGTCAGGGAAGTCTGCTGTCCAACCCAGTACCTCATTTCTTCCTCTTGGCAGTCTGCCTCTGATGCTGATGCTGTTTTGCTCTGTCATTATGTAATCATTCTGCTCAAATTCTCTTTGTGGTTCCCACTGCCATTACAACAAAGTCCAAAACCAAAGCCTGATTTGCAAGATCTAACAAAAGTAGCCACAAGCACACACCTCATGCAAGAGGACAGTGACGCAAGTTAGTGTTCCCACCCCACACGAGATGCTTCCTACCTGACCCTCCAGAGCCACATTCTCCTAGCTCTCATCCTGTGAGCCCAACTCCCGTTATTGCTGCCATTTTTCAGGGATCCTGTCTTCCTGGCTGGGTTGGCTAATAAGAAAAGAGACAGAGCTAGGCAGGCAATCATAGGGATTGAGGATAACTTTAGCACTTACTGTCTTGGCTCCTTTTCTCTGAGGTTCCTTTAAAGTAGCTGTCACATAAAATGCCCTGCTCTGTGGGAAGTGGCTTTACCTACACCGATCTTACTTGTTCTGAATGAACACACACCCCTTCACAGTCCTATGGATGTGAAGATAACTTCCTTTCTCCTCCCCTTACCATCAGACAGCAAGATTCTCATCAACAAGCATCTCTTTTCTGTGAGGTAGGTAATCCTGTTTCCAGTTGAGGCCATAAGTGAAATGCCTTCTTCCCCACTCTCCACTTCCTTAAAGATGAGAAAACTCAAACAGCCCAAACTGCTGATTACCTGAAAATTTACAAAGTAGTGAGTAGCAGAACCAGAATTAGAACCCGAGAACTCCCATTCCAGACAGTTCTCTAGTAGCCCGTGAACTGCTCCACCTTGTTGTCAAACCAGACTGGCACCACATTTATGCATTTCTGTTCCCGTTGAAACCCAACCCATCCTATGTGGCCAGAGCCAAGCCGCTCATTCTCCATGACATTCCTGAGAGCTCTCAATCTCTACAATATGATTGGTGTCTATGCAATCCCCTCGGACACATACCAAATGCTGCTTCTGTCTGTTATAAATATTCTTGAGTATTTTCTTGTTTCACCAATGGGATTGAAAAGCCTCCCAGAGGATGGAAATCATGACCCACACACTCTATCCATTGTCCTTAGCCTGTAGTAAATATGGTACCCTATATTAGTGGCTGAACAAATGATTGAAAAGGAATTTTTGTATCCCCTCCAAAGAGTCATTTTCCTGCTTTATAAAATGAGCAATGAGGTGTGTGTGGTAGGGGGTGACAAATTCTAAATAAGTCAATTTGCCTGAAAAAATAATCACATTCCCATTCTCAGCAAAGCTCACTCAGGGTTACCATAGAAGCCTTGCAGTGTGTTAGCTGCTAGAGAGGCAGTAGTTTGAGGCCTATGGGTGAATTTTCTGGAACTACATTGCTTAGGTTCAAATCTTAGCTCTGCCACTGTTATTCTTGGGAAAACTTCTCCGTATAACATCTCAGCTCTGCCATCTATATGGTGCAGACAATGGTTGTACTTCCCTTGTGTTGTAAGGATTAATTAAATCAATATATGTAAGAGCCTAGAGCTGGGAGGAATAGATGGATGGTGGGTGCACAGGGAATGATGGGTAAGTTGACAAGTGATAGTAATCATTGCTGAATTAGCAACAGTCACACAGAGATCAGCCCGTTAAGACTCTCCTCGTGAAACCTGGAAGTTTCTAGAAAAATACAAATTATGCTCTCTCTGTTGCTCATTTGTAAGCACCCTAACCTTCAGAAATAGGACATTCCATAGGATTAACCCCATCCTGGGGAATGGTTCGCTGGCGAAGGAAGAATTTTTATCTTTCCTCCACAAAGACCTGAGAAACCATTTGTAGTGTGTTGGAAATAAGACCTCAGAGGCAGGGAAAAGAGATAAGTGAGCCTCCACCTGGCACCCACAGTGCACCCCATTGTGGAGTGAACAGTGTGGGGTGCACCGAGATTTACTACCTCTCTAAGGAGACCCAGCACATCGCCACAGCCTGAGTCCCAGCACCACACTGTGGCCCCACAGCGATGACATTCAAAGTCCCAGAAGCAACTGGGCTCTCTGAGAACTGGGTAAAAAAAAAAATCTCCTGAGAGGAAAATAACGGAGTTTCCATCAAAAGACGACGACAGCATTGGGGACATGGTAAATTCACTTCCAAAACCACCTACCTCTCATTCAGTCTCCCGTCAGCTCCTGCCATTCACCACTGACGTGTTGAAATGCCGGAAAAAGCCACGAAGCACCTTGACAGGAGAACAAATAAAGAGCCTCCATTCCTTGATGGGCCTCTTTCTTCCTCATAATCTTGCCTTTTTATTACCTTTATTAAGCATGGTGTACACTGAGGGCCTAAGAAAGGAAAGAAGAAACGATTTGAGTGCCGAGTTTGCGGCGGCTTCCTCCCCCGAGAATTGAGCCTGTACACGTAGTTTATTACCTTTTCAGCCTTCTGAACACAGCTTAAAGCTATATAATATCTTTTGGTAGGTTAAATGAGTAACCGCTCTCACTGGTCTGTCAATCAATTCCACTCCTCTTGTGAATAAAGGAAGTTAGCATCTTTCCTGTCTGACGGCTAAGGGAAGTGAGTTTTTTTTCTTCTGCTCTCTGCCAGGAAATCTTTTGACAGAGGAGGGTGGGGAGGATCCTGCCATTCTCATGGCATCTGTCATGTGAGCTGCCGAAATGGGGAAAGTTCTGTATGCGTTGCCACTACAGAATGAGCTAAATAGTTCAAGGCTGCTAATAGAAAAACCATAACAACTTTAGTGTTTGATCCACACCTGAATTTCAGCCACAGCAAAACCAGTTTATGTCAAGGCAGTGATCAGGAGAGAAACCAGAAACAATGAAGCAATGATGAAAGAAAATAGAGCCATAGCAAGATGTGGCAGTTAGTGTCTCACTGTTGGGGTGAAAGGTCTAAGGCAGGCTAACTTCACAAAGAAATGAAAAGGCTTATTTAGCTCACAGTTGTAGTGGATGATAACAATATCAGCTTACCTCTGATGAGAACATAGCAGTAACGAGACCGTGCTCAAAGGGGAGCAAGGTACATTACCAAATAGGAAGCCACAACAGCTCAGATCCCACAGTCCCTTCTGAGAGCACAAAATCACAGGATATAAGGATGTCTAACTAGGCCCACCTCTTAAAAGTTCTTATTGATAGGAATTCCAACCATGCCCCCATGGTTGCACATTCCTGGAGGGACACTTAGTCATTTCTGCCTAGTCATTTCCAGGCCATATGTCCTACATAACCCATGCCCTGTGGCTGCCTGGTCACGTAATCGCGAGGTGTGACCACGTGATCCATGCGCATGCGTGGAGTAGCCACATGGGCCTGTGCACAGGTGCAAGCTGGCCCTTAAAAAGTCAGGCCCCATGTTCCCCCATCCCCCTTCTCACATGTGTCCTTCCACAGGTCTGATCACATCTATCCCTTTCTTTTTATCTTAATAAAACTCTTGTTAGTGGATTCTGTCGTGTTTCGTGACTCTTCCTTGCAGGGTAAGAGCACCGCTAAAAGCCATCACTTATCACCTCTCATCACCACATGGGGACCAAGCCTCTGATGAGTAAGCCTTTGGAAGCAAACTAAATCTAAACCATGGCACAAACATGAGAATTTTCACCTCCTTTCTCAGAGTCAAAACCACTCTGTCCCATTCTGAAAACATATATAGTCATCTATCTCCAAGTGAGTTTTTAATCAAGAAATGTTTATTAAACTATCATTATGCATATGTGTTTGGCTAGATTTTTGAAAGAGGGAATAAGAAGATGAACCAGCCATCTGTCTATAGTGATACCTGTGCACTAACGCCTTTGTTGGGATCCAGGCTGTCCACCTTGTTGATACTGAACTTCCCACCCAGCACTCCTGCCCCTCTCCACTGTACCCCCACTCTGTTTCCCACAGCAGTGCCTTCTCTAACAAACTACATTTACATACTCACTGCATTTATGATTCACAGTCCATCTGCACACACACACTCACCCCAGTGTGTTAGTCACTTTTCTAGCAGTATGCCTAAGTGCTGCAGAGAACAACTTGAGAAAAGAAGAATACCTTTCAGCTCACTTCAATCCCTGTCATGTATCTCGGTTGCTTTAGGTCCCACACCAGTGCAAGAACTTCATGGCAGAAGGGCATGGCAGAGAAACACTACTCACTTCATGGCAGCTGAGAAGCATAAAGGAAAGGATCCAACAGCAAGACGCAAGACATGCTCTTCCAAGACATGTTTCTAGTGACCTACTTCCTCCAAACAAGCCCCACTTCATTCAATACAGATATATCAATAGGTTAGTCTGCTGATGAAGACAGTGCCCAAATGATGTCTTCAACTCACAGTAGTACCACCAGCTGGGGCCAAACCTTGACTACCTGAGCCTTTTGAGGGCAACATGCCATGTCCAACCCATAACATCTAAGATAGAACACTTTGTGAATTCTATTTCCTGATGATTTCAAATGTCCAGTACATCATAAGCACTCAAGAAAGAGTCCCTAGAGGCTGGAGAGATGACTCCATTGGAAGAGTGCAAGCAATACAAGCATAAGGACCTGAGTTCAGATCCCCTGACCCCACATAAAAAGATGGGCACAGTAGTACAGTAGCACATGCTTATAACCCAATCATTGGTGGAGGGGCCAGAGATAGATTCATGGGCTGTCCAACCCAGCTGAATCAATCAGCTTCAGGTTCAGTGGCAGACACTGTCTGAGAAAATGAAGGTGAACAGAACTCAACAGTAAGGTCCTGTGGCTAAGACACTGTACACTTGGACATGAAGAGATGAAGCTTGTATTGATCAGGAACCTTCCTCTCTTCCAGCTAGCCTTCATGGTACCAGAAGGTGCTTATATGGGCTCCTGAGGGAGAAAAGTCATCAACAGTCTTACCCAGCTGTGAATTCTCCAACCTACAATAACGACTGGCCTGGCAAGATATGCCCATTGGTGCCATAGTGACATGAATATTACAGGGGTAACCAGATGCCTTCTGCTCTCCTCCATAGGTGACCTCAGAATTAGAATATCACCTGTGGTGACAAATTCTCTCCTAGTCACTCAAAACTTGACATAGATGATCAGATACTCACATTTTTGGTAAACAATCTAAAGTCCTTGATATGAAGTCTCACTCAATGTAAAATTATTCAAAACAAATGACCCCTCCCCATGAATTGGTGCATTGGTCTTTGCTGATCAATTACTGTACTCCTTTGGACTCCCCATTCCCTTTGGGATTGGGCTACTTTTGCGATGATGACTCCACAGAGCACTGAAGCCCTGACAGCTGATGCTCTTACTCTCTAACATCGCAAGACATCAACCCCTACAATCTCTACCCACTAACTTGTTAGGAAAGAACCTGTACAATGCCCTTGCGAATACGATCCGCCATGCTCTTAGGTCCTGGAGCCATAAAGGCACACCTGCTCCACACACATGTCTTTCTGTGTCCAAAAGGGAAATGACATGAGAATTTTAAATAACTGCAATTCTCTTCATTATAAAAGATACACTAAAGGCTGCCAATACTTTTTCCATGGCCTAGCAGTAACAAGCGTCTCAAATCCCTTGTGTTTAACTTCACTTGTTGGAAGTATAAAATATTATAACAGTATCTCTCTGCTAAAGCCAACCAAAACCCTTTCTTTCATTATTTACCTCCTAACATCTTTTCATATATGTGTATGTATATGTTGTACATATGTATATGTATAATGTATATGTATATGAATATGTCTTAGATTTTCTGATGAAATAAACAACGCAAATTGTCTTAGAGCAACAGCCAGCCATTCATTCAGGTTACAATTCTGAAAGTTAACAGTTTGGGCTTGTTCTATTTTGTCACTCTGGTGTGAGCTCAGCCAATCTCAGAAGCTAGCTGTGAGTTGATCACATGATCATCCAGGGTTTCAGGACCAGCAGTGTTTCATTGCCAAGACAGTAACAATTTCATGAAGTCCTCATGGGACAAAGATAGCCACAAGTCCAGCTCCATTGTGGAGACTCATTTTGTTGTTGTTGTTAAAAATAAATAAATAAAGTTGCTTTGTCTTTTTGCAAGGGCATGAATACAAATAGGGAAAGAAATTTTGGCTTTTTTTGAAGTTTCAATCAGGAAAGGGATTGTGAGATCTGTAAATGCTGACGCAGAAAGGCAGTTAGCAGTCACTAAATCATCTAGTCACGTTGGATCTCTTTAAGAGAATAATTATTTATGGTGCCTGATGCACTCATTTATTTTTCAACCTATCTTTTGATCACCTGCTGTGTACTCAGCCTGATACAAGATACCTGTGACATAACCAAAATGAGCAGTGTCCTGGCTCCTGCCAGTCTTACAATAGCGTACAGGACAGATGTATAGTACATAAGTGTGTCCTAGACCAAACTCATAAGTGCCTCAGAGAAAACCAAACACGCTCAAGTGTTGAGAGTAACAAGAGTAATGTGCTACTCTGTTGAAGGTGGCCGGAGAAGGCCATGCTGATACTCTGAAGGAGTGCTTGGAGATCGTGAGGGAAGAATCCATAAGGATTGCTGGCAAGGGGCAGTTAAGGCACAGGAAAGAGTAAATGGGAAGCTTTAAATGGATCGTGTCAGCCTCGTTTCTCAGAAGAGAGACAAATGCCACTAGTGTAGAGAGAGGAGGGAGGGAAAATGGGAGGAAAGGGGAAGGGAACCATGAGCAAGCTGTGAGAGCAACGGGACACATTTTATAGGAGATGGGAAGCCTTGGCAAGAAGCTTGATGTTATTCTGAGTGAGAACCAAATCCTTGCCTGGTTGGGGACCAAGATGCGGCACAGCCTGACCTGTGTTTCCAGAGCATCACTGCACTTGTGTGGGATACAAGCTGCTCTGGGAAGACAAGGGAAGAAGTGGGAGCTGTGTGGGAGGCGCCTGTCATTCTGTTCTCACTGGGCTCCCAGTCTCAGCATCCCAGCTAATGAATGTACTCTTCAGACTCCAGTTTGGGGCCCCTAGGCAGGATGACAACTGAATTTGGCAAGAGGGTATCTAAGGGGCATACATCAAGACTTTACCCATCAAGAGCCGCATATGCATCTTTACATCACCTCAAGAAGAATGCAGAAAGAAAGAAAAGGAGGAACGCATCTATCTAGAAAAACAGTTCTCAGACTGTGAGTTGCTATCCTTTTGGGGGTTGAACAACCCTTTAGCAGGGTCACCTACGACCACTGGAAAACACAGATATTTACATTGTGATTCATAACAATAGCAAAATTACGGTCATAAAGTAACAATGAAAATAATTTTATGGTTGGGGTCACCACAACATGAGGAGCTATAATAATGGGTGGTAGTGTTAAGAAGGTTAGGAACCACTGCTCTCTGCCCAGCCACTGTAGAATTATCAGCTTCCTTCCATCACTGAGTGCTCCATAGAAAGCCCAGCACAGGAAGAAGTCCCAGGAGAGGAGTGGGATTGCAAAGAACTGGCCATCCTGTGACCAGATGTCAGAGCAAGGTAGAACAACTTAGCTGGCCTGAAGTTCAGAGTAGAGCCAGG